CCCCAAACTGCCCCAAGTTCAAGGTTCTCTTTGGTTCAGATTTTCACCCTGCTGGCATTGGGGCACTTTTTGTTGCCCCAATCCTATGAAAGGATTTTCTTTTCCAAGCTTAGCCTGTTATTTTTTGTCTACATTTTATGGAACCACCTGCCAATCTGCAGGAAGTAAGATAAACTGAAAACCTGATCATGGGCAGAACAGCATAAGGAAATGTAGGCAGATTTACATACATTTGACATCAGTTATAGATGCTTCATCTTTATTAAGGACAATCTTTGGGTGATAACAGTCACTGGCTGACTTCCTGATTTCACTTCTCTTTAGCATGGTTTGTTGTTATTATTTTCTCAATACGTCTCTTACATTCAGGAAGATCCCTTTTACTTGCTCGGGTTATTGCTCTTTCTGTGCCTGTCAATCTCTTCCATAGCCTTCTTGTCCCTTGACCTTCTGGGGAAAATATGTATTTTCTGCCAGAAGTACATATTCATCTATTAATTCTGCCTTGAACTCTGCTAGGTGGCCTCTTTCATATCCTGGGATCATATGTTCAGTCACTTCTGTTCTAGCTGTGATTCCTTAGTCAGCCAGGTCACATCACAGTTTCTTTGATGGTTTTCTCCATGTCATCTCACATCCTATCTTTGGTATTTTTTCTTGGAAAACACTTTTATTTCATGCAGCTGAATTACTATTGTTATTTATTACTTCATAAATTCATTACTTAAAAAAATTCCCCCATTCCCATTTCTCCACTTTACCTTTATCTCTACATTTTTTTTTTGTTTCAGATGAATCACTTCCTGCTTCTAAATACACATAAAACTGCTTAAAGTGCTTCGGGGGGTCCAAATCCATTTTATGTTTGTGATGCTTTGGTATTTGAACACAGCAGGGGTGATGGCTGTGCCCATCACCAAATTTGACATGAGTCCAACCAGAGATGTGAAGCTCCAGGGCAAACAAAAAGTCCTTAAGTATTCAGGAAAAGGATGACAAGCTGAGAAAAAAAAAAAAAGAGTGACAGATATCTCACAGAAACACATATTTCCTTTATGATCTTCCTTCACACCTTTTCTTCTGCAGCTTAGACACAAAAGTTTGTGAAACTATACCCTAAGTTTAATCTTTGAGATAATATATTATGTTGATTTGCTATTGTTGGTTATTTTTTACACAATTTTCATATAAGTACATTATGCTAATAGAAGTGAATTAAGCTCAGTGTCTTATTACTTTCTGTAGATAGGACAAAATATCTAATACATGCAATTTAAAGGAAGAGAGGTTTATTTTGGTCCATAGTTTGAGAAGCATCAGTCCACAGCTGGCTGCAAAACAGAAAGATCACTGCAGAAGGGCATGGTAGAGGAAAGCTGTTTCCTCATAGTGTCCAGAAGAAGAAAGGATAGGCCCAGGGACAAGAATAAAATAAAGGAAGGCCAGGGGTTTGGCTCAGTGGCACAGTGCAATTGCACTATCATAAAGACACCCAATTCAAAATTTACTGATTGCTTATTTCTGTAATTTTCCGTTAAGACACTGTTTGACCACAGGTGACTCTAACCATTGACAGTGAAGCTGCAGATAAGGTGAAACTACTATATACATGCATATATATCCTCTGTGTGTGTGTGTGTGTGTGTTCACACACAGATATGTCTACCATTACTACTTCATAATCATTTATAAGTCCTCAGTTTCTCATTTAGGTGTACTCAATATCTTGGTACTCAAACACCAGTCATTTCCTTTATCTAAAAGAGAATTTCTCCCACTTTTTTATTCATAGTTTATAAGAAAACAATAAGACATTGAACCTAGCTTTTTCCTCCTAGCTGTCTAGCACTCAGGAGACCTCTTAGCTTGTTGACTTTGTTCCTGAGTTATCTGTGTTTAAATAAATGCACCCAACTCCATGCCCCACGACCTTTTCTCTCACCCAGTATGGAGATGTCAGTGCTGGCAGGCCTTCCCTCAACTCTGCATCCACAGGAGACAGGAAGGAGTGAGGGAGAGCAGTTACAGTTCACCAGGAGGCACCCGCGGGACCTGTCTCTCCCAGGAGCTCACTGTTCCCAAAATGACAATGGTGCTGAGATGCACCCAAGTCCCCAGTACAGCCTGCTGCTTTCTGGACCCACTGTCATGCTCATATTCCAGACATTGCTGAAGCACATCAACAGGACCAGGGATTGCAAGTACTACTAGAGGGAGGCTGGCATCTTGGTGATTGCATGTCAGGTCCACTAGGGGCTGGATGGCAGGAGGGAGAAGAATCAGATAGAAAGAGGGGAGTCCAGGTGTGGTGGAACATCTCCATCTTGGAGCTGTGTGGCCTTTGAGTACTGTGGATTTCCCCAGAGGACCCAGGTTGTTGATGAGCCTTCAGAGTGGGTGAGGGGGCACCTCTTTGCATTCTTTATCCCATTGTACTTGCCCTGTGGTTTACCAGGTCAGACATCTGAGTGCTGCACCTGGACCTGAGCAGTAGGATATGAGCTGGCACTGGTACGTCCCTGTTATTCCCCTCTGTCTTTCCCTTTTCACTGCTGCCACAGAAATTATCAGTTTTTCATTTTCAAGTTGTTTGCTATCATTTTTCCAGAACTTGGCTGTAAAGTCTAGTACTATTTTGTTCATGTTGTAGTCCTAACACACCAACGCCTCTGGCAGAGCCCATCATTGATTTTGGGTGTATCAATGAGTCTCATCATGCTACCTCTCTGGTAAGCTCAATGACTTTAGTGTACCTACCCCTTCTACTCCTTCCTTGGAGATTGAATTGGGACATTCAGCCTCCATTCTTTCCTGTTTCTTTTCTTTCTGAGCCTTCATAGACTCTTGGCTGCTTAGCACACAATCTTCTCCATCATTTGTTGTTGCCTCTAATTATGGCTGCTATCTCTTCTTCTCTTAGTGTGTTGTTCACCTCTGTGTCCTCCCTCACCATCTGCCTTTCCAAAGACCTGGCAATGAATGGTAAGGGGATGCTTAGATACTTCTCCTGCCAACCCTCTGTCCTGTTCCTCAGTCCTGCCCTGTCAGTTGCTTGAGAAGCTCAGCAGACACAGGTCCCTGATGATCAAATTTACAGCTGCAAAAATCCAGGGGAACAGGACAGCTACCCTATCTGCATTTTCAATGTAGCGAAAGAGTCATACTCTGGGGTAGGAAAATTGTTTCAGGAGTCAAAAGGCACAGGGGTAATTTAGACAGAAGAATTTAAAGGGGTAGCATGGACAGAAAGAAAGATAGGAAACAAGGAGTGAGCTTTCAAATGGGTCGCAGGTCTCTGCAGAGTTCTTAGGAGGATGGGTGAGCTATCACTATGGGAATTTTAACATAAAGTTGAACTGCAAAGGCTGCCGTGTGAAGTATTTGGAGAAAGGTTAATAGAATTACTTACTTGTTTCAGTTATGTAATATAAGATCTAGAGATTTAATATACAGTGTGGGGATTTTAGTTGATGCTGTGTTATGCACTAAAATTTTTTAAGATAGTAGATCTTAGGTTTTCTCACCACAAAACAGTAGCTATGCAAAGCCATGGACATATTTATTAGATTTACTTTAGTAATCAGATCACTATGTATATGTATATTAGAGTATCATGTTGTATACTGAAAAACAATGTAATCTAATAATAGGCAGAGGTAGCCATTGTTAATATTTTAAAATGCATCCTTATAATCTTTTCCTATATGGAGTCAGATGGCTTGCTAGTTCAATAAATTGATTTTAGATTAATTGATTTTGTGCATTTTAATATATAAATAAAATCCCATTACCTCAGATTATGAAAGGCAGCCAGTGGACGTAGTCATTTAGATAATCAAATATAATAGCAGTATATATTAGGGTAGAGATGGAAATCTATGAATAAAAACATTAAGAATATTATTGTTCAAGAAACAAACTCTTGAACTAGGATAGTAGCTATGGAAATAGATGAAAAATATTTCCAAAAACAGCAATTCAAGTGGATTAGAAAGAGTAGAGCAAATATCAGAGGTTCCTTTCAGTGTCATGAATAAATGATGAAGAAGTGGAGGCTATGAAGATGATATTAGTGCTGAAGGAGTCAAGGGTTGTTAGGTATTTTCAGATGTGTTGAATGTGTAGTGGGGGTCACAAGGCCATGTGGGATGTGGGCTGGGACTTAGAGAAGAACAGCAATCCAGATTTCAGATTCATGTACATTTTAAAAATTGTTTTGGTTAAAAGAGAGGGGACTTCCCACAAGGAATGTAAACATATGTAGTACACACAAGTACTAAAAATTTTAAAAGAACACAATACAAGATAATAGGAAACAAGGAGATCGATCTTTTGCAAAAGAGAAGGGGACCAAGAAATGAATGGCGGGAAAGGGATAAAAAAGCATTAAGATAGGTTATGTACATGTTCCAACTCCCTATGATGAATGTAATCATTATGTACAGTAAACATGGGCTAATATAAAATGTACAATAAGAAAAAGGCAAAATTTTTTCAGGAGAGAATAGATTAAAAAAAGAAAGAGAAGGGAAATGTGGGGAATTTATATTTAGACAATGACAGAAAGGCAACTGGAGGACAGAAAAGGCAAAGTAGCATCGGAGGAAAATATATAGAGGCCAGGGTCCTTAAAGTCAAGGACACCAACAGTTTTAAGAATGGGTTTTATGTAGTCTGACATATCCCAGAGATGAAAAATATCATGAGGAGTGAGCAGAGTAGATTCAAAAGCAACGTATAAGATTCCCAGAACAGTTTTGGGCACAGGGAGGAACCTTGTTAGTTAGCAACTATTATTTGATCAAACTAGTTAAATTTGGAAGTTAGCTAGAAAATCTTCCACAGTTAATCTCTAGATCCAACCAAATGTCTTATACAGAGTTGGTGCTTAGCAAATATGTTGAAATTATCTGTGAATGAGTAAAGGCAGAAGAAGAATGTGGCTGACTCCTAAATCTGTTTATCACTGTTAATGCATTTCTGGCTTCAGGTAACATTTACCCTTAGGCAATATTCCTTTTGAATATTGAGATTAACCATGACCACAGGGTGGTATGCTTGAGAGCCAGGCCACCATCAGGGGAGAAGTTGGTGGTCATTTTCCTCTAAGATTTCTTGATCTTTAACAGGTATCACAGAGAACTGCTGTCAAGTGCAATGAATAACGACAACAATGCCAGGGAATTTGTGCTTCTGGGATTTTCTCATCACCACGAGTTTCAGACCCTTCTGTTTGGTTTCATCCTGTTTATATACATTCTGACCATTCTGGGGAACCTGGCCATCATGGTCCTCACTTGTCTTGACTCCCGCTTCCACTCTCCCCTGTACTTCTTCCTCTGTAACTTCTCCATCACAAAGATGCTAGTCACCTCCACTGTGGTTCCTAGGATTCTGGCAGACCTGCTACCCACTCATAGGACTATGTCCCTGGCCCAGTGCCTGACCCAGTCTTTCTTTTACTTCACTCTGGGCTCCACCACCTTCCTGATCCTCACAGTCATAGCTTTTGATTGCTATGTGGACATCTGTCACCCTCTGCACTACCCAACTATCATGAGTAGCTCAGTTTGTGTGAAGCTGGTGGTGGACTGCTGGGTGGTCAGGTTCCTCTCCATTGTCTCAACTACTCTACAGAAAACACAGCTCTTGTTCTGTGGCCCTAAGTCATTGACCACTTCTTCTGTGACTCTACACCACTTCTCAAACTATTCTGCTCTGACATCAATCATACTGAGCATATGGACTTCTTCTCGTCATTGCTCTTTGTGCTGACCACAAGGCTGCTTATTGTGGTGTCCTACATCCTCATTGTGGCTGCTGTGTTCCACATTCTCTTTCTCCAGGACCCAGAAGGCCTTCTCTACCTGTGCCTCCCACCTCACAGTGGTGGTTCTGGGCTATGGCAGCATCATCTTCATCTATGTGAGGACAGGAAGGGGCCATTCTATACACTTTTACAAGATGGTGGCTCTGATGACTGCAGTAGGAACCCCTTTCATCAACCCTTTTACCTTCTGGAATGAGAAGATCAAGTCACTGAGGACATGACCAAAAGGATCCTCCTCAGAGACTCAGCAGTCCACAGGTAAAGGGGCTGGAGAGCACCTGTAGGGTCATTAGGAGTAAGGACCCTCAGTGAGTATCTGGTACCCAGGTTGGGACTCTTTTCTTCCATCTCTTCCTTCTTGGCCTCCCCAATTTCCTTATCCCCATGTAAGTTGCTGCTCTTGCACTACGAAGGGCTGCTGAACATATATCATTGTTAAAATGTCTCAAAGAGTCTTTGTGCCTGACAGTTAAGGAATGGAGGATTTCAAGCTACCACAGAGTGGAAAATGGTTAGATATCAATTAAGTGGGATAACCCATATAAAGCTCTTAAAATGAGACTTAAGACACAGTGAGAGTTCAGTATATGTAACTTATTAAAACTTGCTGGTAAAATCTCCCCTCCCTAGTCTTGGTTCTGTCGTTTTCTTTACATTTCTTTATGTTTCTTGGTGTACAATTTTTGTGTGTGTGTCCCTACCTTAGGATGGATTCAGCACAAAGGGAGAGGTTTTGAAATGGGAGGCTCTCTAAGAACAGAGAGACCTGGTACACCATCACGAAAGAAACTGTGCTTCTCCATTGGTTCACCTGTCTGGGACACTTCCTAAATGGAAACATTCTGCACACCTAGGCCACCCACTTCTCTATTATGGTCCCAAAGTGTCACGCCTTTCAGCAGAGTGTCTTGCCTTCCCTGAGCCACTGTACAATTCTTCCTTACCTTTTTCATGCAGTCCAGAAGGAAAGGAGTGCTGCACTGCCACTCTCAGACTCCCTGCTTCTCCCTCCACATGGGGTACTAGTCTCTTCTGCAGAACCTCAGGTCCATATCCCAGATGGGGGGCCAGTTTCCTGGGTCCTTTGGGGTTGGATTCCCTGAAAGCAGCCTGGGCATATTACTAGGGCCTCTCTTTGGAAAAGCAAAGACAGGAGAAGCCAGATGAAGAGAAAATGGAGTTGGATCAGTGCTGTGGGTGGCTAGGTGGGAAGATGGATGAGAGAAGCTATTCCTTGGAAATTTGTGGGCGGCTAATGGGAAAATGGTGGGGCAGGGTTAGCTCTGATGTTTGATATACCACACTGAGTCAGAACTGGACTGGGATAAGCGGACCAGGCGAAGAGTAGGTGCAGGGAGTTCTCATTTCTGAAACTAGACCTTTCCACAGGACACCTTGAAGGGATGCCCCAGTGGTAATATGCATTCCAGACAGCACCCCTCAGAGCCAAGTCACCAGAGAGCATGGCTGGTTGCAGGAGAAGCTTACTATCTCCATTTACTGTTCTCACTTTCTTTGTTTTAAAAATACCACCACAGGAAAGTTTTGTATTTCTGGGCTTCATTAATAAGAAGGCAGAAACTTCTGATTCTGCTGAAAAAAGCAGTAGGGAAAATAGATATTCATCCTGAGAACTTTTTCTTCCCCACCTCTCAAGGGACTAATTATTTACCCTCCTTGCAAACTTTGTGAAAAACTGAAGAACTAAAAGCAATTATCTTCTGATATGCAGATACTTTCTTTTAGTTTGTCCCCCTAAAATAATCAGCCTACAAATCCACTTGGAGTTTCTTCCTGAGGGAATTTTTCTTGTTTACTCTTTCATCTCTGCACATTCCCCTCTTAAAAAAATAAAAATAATCAACAGCTTCCAGCAAGTTATCCTCTGTTTTCTTAGGACTGGGATCTCTGACTGGCCACTTTAGAGAAAGATATGACTTTCCTTTGTCCTCCATAATTATCACTCATCATGTACAGCCTCAAACCCCATGACATGCTTAACAAAATGCACCCTAATCCTTCACTGCTTCAAGTGCAATCTCCTGGGAGCTTGTTAAAAATGTAGAATCTCAGGCCCCACTCCAAACTGCCTGAATTAGAATCTATGTTTTTACAGGGCAATTCCTATGCATATCAATGATTGAGCAGCACCAATGGAACAGTTTGCTGGTAGAATTTTTAATTAGGAAGTTGTATATGAAAGCCCTCTTCCAGTATCATTTGAAGGATGTTATAGGAGGGAATTTGAGGTCACATCTGTTTTTAGTAGTAACATTTGTCCCAAGTCCTATATCTGGGGATAATAACGAGGGAAAAGTCTCCCATGATTTTATTCTTATTGTAACATTACACTTTTTGAGGTCAGGCCTCTGACTTGCTGTTAGAATCTTGTATAGACATGATGTAGAAATGTTTTGATTCTACATTTTCTTGATAGAACAGGGGCTCCTCTTGTCACAGTGTCAAATGAGGCTCCTGGATAGGATGACTTAGAACTTTGAGTTTCCCAACTTACTGGAAGGAATCGCGGGATTAGTCCTAAGTCAAAATAATTATGAAAGTCTCCCCAGTTTTATGCTGTGAGGCAACAAAGCCATAGTCTCATGGGATTGCATGGGAGCCTCTGGCTGATCCGTGTGTGTCCCTCCACTTGAGTGCACGCATCCTTATTGCAACACACGGAACAGCCTCACCCTGAGTCTCTTGCACCAAGCCCAGGGATAGGGCACTCAAAGATGGATGAGGCAGTTCCTTCTTTTGTCACAATTTTAAATTTTAAGCTGAAACCCTTGTGTTAATGTAATTCCTCATGTAGTTTCTGAGAGGTCTCTCAAGTTATATAGGCTAAGTAGTAAAATAATTGTAGATATCACTTACAAAATACTCAACATTTACAGGTGAGAGATTGCTGTTGAAAAGTTTCAAGAGCTCTTGCTACCCACATTCTGGCCTCTGTTACTAGATGAATATTAGAACTGGTTGCAGTATTAGTTTAGACAACTGAGAAGAGTGGAGTGCTATAATCCCTTGCCTTGGTTTGTTTACTACTTTTCTATTACCATCAACTAAAATGGCACCTCACATCTTAGATTGCAATGCTAACTTGTGTTCCATGTTTATTGAAAAATCTCATTTTAAAAGACAGCTGGCATTTATTGAATACCTCCCATATGAAATCTAGGTGCAGGAGATACAAAGGTATGTAAGATGTGGCATTTAAATTAAGGAGGTATGAACATAGTGTGGAAAGACAAAATCATATTAGTTTCTGTACACAGAGCACTTTGGGATGCAAAGGAGAGAGTGCCTTGTTCTCTTTTGTTAAGTTAAGAGTTCTAGAGAAACAGTTTTTGTTATTTAAGTTGATCTTTGAAGTATGCAGAACAGTTTCATAGACTGAGAAGTGGAAATGTGAATTCCAGAGAAACTAACTAACTATGTGACCTAATGGAGACATAAAATAGTATGTTGTTGAGCAATCAAGGCTCTGGGGGATGGAATTAACAATTGGGCTTTCTGAAGAGTAACCACATACATCCTCACTCATTAGGTCCAGGTAGCTCAGGGGACTTGTGAGTGTCCTCTGCAAGATGCTCTCCTCGCTGAAATATCATAACAGGCCATACTGAATTCAGCACATTTACAGAGGATGTGGCAGAAGTAGCAGTAAACAGCTTAGTATGCCATGGCGATGATACTGTAGTCACAAAAGGTACCGTTTACCTCCAGTGCTACAGTTTAATGGTTTCAATTGTGCAATAATCTAGGTAAATTCAGAGAGCTCAGCATTTTAAAATGCTTGGTGGGAGGTCTGCCAGAAGCTGAATTGGTCAAATGTTATGGGCCTTCAGGATGCTTTGTTCAGGTCCTCCAGTGTAAACATGGGGTATCTGTCTTCTGTCTCATGCTCTGAATCTGTGAAGGAGGAGAAAGAAGAAAATCTGTAGCATCTTCTCTCCTTGGAACATGCTGCCTTGGACCACAATGAGGACAAGGCTTTCAATATAGTCCTTTGGACTCACATCACAGTGTGAGACCCAAGAACTTCTGGTTGAGTTTTCTATCGACCTAGGGAGGTAGAATTAATGTGTATGAGTCATGAGATGCCCAGCTGCTAGTGAAGAAGTTCTGTCCCTTTGAGGGTCAGGTGTCTACAGGACTGAGGGACATATAAAGGCAATGCCATGATGTTACTTGCACAGGATTTGGGACATGTTTAACTGAAGGGAAGGGCAATGACAAAGATGATGGTTTTCATGATGAACAAGATCTAATGGAAAGCACAGTGGTGGGAAGTTAGTGATGCTCCTGAGAACTGGTTGTTAATCATTAACATTGAGTTAAACAAAATCATTATTAAAAACCAAAAAAAAAGAAACCCACACCAAGATAAAACATGCAAAAAACTAAAGTGATAAAATTTAGAAAAAGCTCTTACCTCACCATACTTTTATTTTTAATCTGTGCTCTTCACATTATTTATATCATTTGGATTAGTATGATATAAATATTGTACAGCGTTTTGCTTCTGAGCATAATTCACCAGCTCCAAACTCAGTGAAGTCATGTTAATAGTTTGAAATTGGATATAATGCAACATTCACCACGGATGCTTGCAAAAGCTAAAAGCCAGCAAATGGAGAGCTGCTGGTTAAACACTTGTTGTTTTTCCTCAGTATCTTTCAGGAATTTTTGCTAGAAGCATATTTACATCTAAAAATTCAATACTTGTAAATTGGTGGAGCAAATTGGTGAATATAGCCACTATACAAAATTTCTGACTTTGACCAAGGACTTTTTCAACTTATCTAAATCCTAAAGTTCCTTCTATGTAGGTCTCGTTTACTAGTGGCCAGCATAAAACCCAAGCCTAATTTTCTTCTGAAAAATTATTGGATTTTTTTTCCTTCTCTCCTGAAAATTGTTCATTATCCTTAATGTCTCACTCCTATATCACCTCAGCTAAAGAAATAAATCTCGCCTGAGGCTTCCCGCGAGGTTTGCACATATTGTGGTAAACTATTGTGTTAGCTGCTCAGAACTCTCTGACTGTTGTTAACTAGAACACTGAACCTCTGGGCCTGGAACACCAGAACAGTGAAAGGTGAGTGGGAAGATATTTGGAGTAGGGAAGAAATTTAAAGCCATGATATCCTTATACTGATTGTGCCTATATTTAAATTAGTTCTGATGTTTAAAGAACTTTACCTTTCTTTTAGCTAAAAATTGCAATATAAGTTGCTTCTGTGGAGTGCGATTGCT